TCTTTCGTCCACTTCCCATTAGAGACATCACGAAATTTACCTTCACTGAGTAGTTCCTCTTGAGATCAGAACGGCTGGAACCGTCGAAATTCAACCTATTAACACTCTAACACCCTTTAGAGAGGAGTAAGTAGTTCCCTAAATCCCCTTAAAAGTATCAGGTCGAAATGTGAATTCACTGGTGCTCTGAATCCCTTTAAGCGGAGTTCGCTAGGTCTTTCATTCATTAAAAACAAAATACAGTAGCTCTCTGAATCCCCTTACTCAACCCCAAGCAGCGATATTGACAGAGTATTGAATCCTTCAACCTCGCATCGTAAACACATAACGTTAAATTTTAATAAATACTGAAGAATAACTTCGCTAAAACACAGAATAACAAAAATACACAGAAATACCTTTCAGTCAGCTATTCTATAAGAAAATTACTATGCCGTTTTCTAGTATATTTTTCTACTAGCAGAAGCCAATTCTAAGAGACAAATTCCATAAAAAAAATAAAATTACCTCCGTTAAAGAGTATTAAAGAAATCTTAACACATCTCGTGAAATTTTTTTTTCAGTTATTTTTGTCCTGGGCTCGTTAAACATTAACATCTACATCCGACATGAATGTTTAACGATGATATTAACGAATGTCAGACATGATTCTGCACTTATTATGACAAAGTAATTTGCATTTCATGAAACTTTGTAGTTCCCTCTGTCAACACTGCAACAAAATGACGCACCTTAATATGAAAGAATATTTTGTTTTGTACTCGTCTGTTTCTCTTACGTACTCGTCCGTTTTTCTTATGCAGTTTTCTGTTTTTCTTATGTACTCGTCTATTTTTTATGCATTCGTTTATTTTTGTTATGTACTCGTGTATTTTTCTTATGTACTCATCTGTTTTTCTTATGTAGTCTTCTGTTTTTCTTATGTACTCGTCTATTTTTTATGCATTCGCTTGTTTTTGTTATGTACTCGTCTGATTTTCTTATATACTCGTTTGTTTTCCTTATGTACTCGTCTGTTTTCCTTATGTACTCGTCTCCTTTTCTTTAACCTGCCCTTGTCATTATTCATACTATATATTTTATTGCTAACAGTGTGTTTTATTGTGGTATTGTGTTTTATGACGATACTGTGTTTTATTAATGATGCTGTGTGTGTTTTATTGCTAATATTGTATGTTTTAGTATCGATATTGAATGTTTTTGCTGCAGTGGCGAAATTCATATTTCATTTGCTGTGCTTTCTGTACTCTTAATATTCTTTGTACTCTCTGTACTCTCAGTGCTTTCGGTACTATCTCTAGGGTTTATTTTCTCCCGTTAATTTTGTACTTGCCTCACTCTTTGTGTACTACTCTCAATTCTCTTTGCATTCCCTGTACTCTTTCCGAGCATGCGCTCAGAACACCTCCCTGAACACCACGGTGTGACCTGATGCACCAACTAAGCTGGTTCAACAGGGAAAGCTTATTAAAAGTAAAGCTTTCATGCAATAGTTAGTGAATAAAGTCGAAGGCTCTGAATTATTCGCAGCCACACCGGCAGGGACGGGTCTCGCGATTGTCAGACGGAGAATCGAGCCTCCACCACTAAACATGTCTTCCCTGGGTATTACTTTGTGTCTAGAATTATTGATTTCATATTTATTCCTTGCTATTATATATTTTCTATCATGTTAATTGATATTCAGAATATGTTTAAATCTGGTTCCCATTGTTTATTTTCTTTGATTTTGAGAAGTGCCTGATGATAGAGTGAGTTAAGTACCTGATCAGGCGGGTTGTGGTTCGTACGTTGGATTACGTGCGGCCAGCAGTAACAGCCTGGTTCATCAGGCGCTGATTCACCATGAGGCCTGGTCACAGACCGGGTCCGCGGGGGCGTTGACCCCCGGAACTCTCTCCAGGTATTATATATATATATATATATATATTATATATATATATATAATATATATATATTATATATATATATTTATATATATATATATATATATATATATATATATATATTATGCTTTATAATATAGGAGAGCAATAGAGTATTATGATGAAGGGAAATAACCATAAATTTAGGGGATTTAATTATGTAAATAACTTTACATGGTAGCAGCAAGTGAGCAAAATTGCACCATAAAAGGATAATGGAAAATTATGAAGAGCAAAGAGGGGCGGGGTATTAATTATTATTATTATTTCGTCAAAAGTTATGCATAATTAGTAGAATTTTTTGAGTGCATTTGTTTTAAAATTATACGGAGAGGAATTGCATGAAAGAGGGTTTATTAGGGAAGGCTACGAGACCTGATTGTTGGATGCGAGTGTACGAGGCCACCTTGTTTGTGATGGAAATGCGAGACCACGTCGTTTATGTTGGAAATACGAGACTAGGTCGTTTATCAGGGAAAGGCGAGGCCTGTGGAGAAATTTCTCCAGGAGGGGGGTATCAGCCCCCTTCAGCCCCTTTCAGCCCTTTCAGCTCTCTGAGGGACTCAGCCCTCCAGAGGGGCTGGTGGCATCTTGCTTCTGTATCTCTGCATCAACACTTTAATTGATTCTAGATGCTCTATGAGCATGTGTCACGGTCATGTGAGTCCTTGCACGAGATCAGTGTTGCAAGTAGTGTAGTTTAAAAAGAGACAATCAATCTCTTACCTTAACAGGACAATTAAGGAAAATCCTGCACCCACTTTATTACCATGGTAAAGATTGTGTACATTGTGTACATTGTGTACATTGGGAACAGCCAACATTTCAGTAGAGTGAAAAGCTGAACAAAATATTTAAGTTCTTAATGTTTGACTTGACATGTATATGAGGACCGTAGAGTGCTTACTTCACACACAAACACACACACACACACACACACACACACACACACACACACACACACACACACACACACTTGAAGCACTCCATCTAACCTCGTTTAACATATTCTGACCTCTGCTATGTAGAGCCTGGCTAAGCTCATCAAGTTTTGTCAAGAGCAAACAAACCAGACTAATGAAGTGGAATTGAGGGGTTTTATTGAAGCAAAGCAGGATCAAAGAAATAATTTTATTGCATGCCAGCTAATTTGGTTGTTAATTAAGGTAATACCGACAAGTTTTACCTATTTTTAAACTTCATTACACACACACACACACACATACAGGCCGCAGGTGTGGTCTGAAAAGTGGTTATTAGAATATAACCTCAGCAAATGCAAAGTTCTGAGAATTAGGGACAGGCAAAAGAGATCGAAAAACGGAATACTAGTGTGGGGTCAGAGGCTACTAACCTCACACAAGGAGAAGGTCCTCGGGATGACCTCGGGTATGACCACGGTACTTAGTATATCACCTGAGGTGCACATCAAACGCACGTCTGGCAAATCTTAAATAGCTTTCAGGAACCTAAACAGTCAGGGTCATGTTGCAGTATGCAACACCAACATGGAAGTCAAAATTGATCAAGCATGTCGAGAAACTAAAGAAAGTGAAGATTCTTGCAATGAGATTTGTTCCAGAGCTAAGTATTAAGACTTTTGAAAAGAGATTAAAGGGAATAAACCTTATAAGATTGGAGGACAAATAAACTAGAGGTGATTTGATAACGTACGAAATACTGAGAGGTATTGGTATGTTAGGAGGGATAAATTATTCGGAAGACGGTAAGCAGAAACACAAGGGCATAGCTGGAAGTTGTAAACATAGATGAGTCAGAGGGATGTTAGGAAACATTTCTTCAGCCTTAGAGTAGTCAAAAGGTGGAATGGCCTGGACAGTGGAGTGTTAGAGGCAGTGCCCATACATAGCTTTAAGAAGAGGTACAATAGACTATCGAATCCAAAAGCGACCAGTAACCAGATATAATTAAGTACACACACAGGGAAAGCAAGAGTCCACAGTTTGTAAATGGAGAAAAAAGTGGAGAGGAACAGACAACAGAACTTTTTATTTCTGAGATGGAATGTATTAAAGTGTCAAGTTGTAAATACCACAACCAATGGAAATTATAGAAAAACGCATGATAAAATATTAAAGACGGAAAACAACAAGCATAACACTGATCCTGCAGCAACATAAAGGTAATTATAAATTTGCAATTAAACACACACACACACACACACAACACACACACACACACACACACACACACACACACACACACACACAGCGCACTCGTTTGAGCCTCCCCGCAGCGCAGTGTAACAGATTGTTGTATATGGGGAAAAACTAAATTCCAGCCCACAGTTACACAGAGCAGTATTAGATGAATTATGTTAGCGGGACAACAGAGTAACAAAGGGGACTTAATACAGTGTGGAGTTCCAAGTTGCGCCTACCACAACCCAATCGTTCATAAAAAAAATATATGAAGAAAGCAGTTTCAACCCTTATGACTTGTTCAGAGTGAGGGTTATAGCATGATCGATCTAATTTGTGTACACAATGTAATGAAGAGAAGAAAGGTCGCAAAGCAATGTTTCACTGGAACAGTGTTTCGACATATGAAGAGTCTTATTAAGTTATGACTTGATGAAGCTCTACATTGTCTCATAACATTGTCTCAATGAAAGCTTATTCTATAACGTTTGCTCCGTCTATGTTAAGAGCAGTAGTTCGCCATGACCACCCAACTGAAGACAGAGCGAGCACTATGAGAGCACACCAGACAAATCCTCATTCATGAACCAGTACACTGATGGACGAGGCCTCTTATAAATAATCCGCGAGTGTATATGTACTTTCACGAAGGCTGACACCAGCATAGAAAAAGGAGCGTAGGTGGTGTCAGAGAAGTGCAGTCACAGCTGCTGCTGCAGAAGTCGTTCTGACTGAGATCCTGTCACAGAATAAAACAGGGAGAATAAAGGCATTTGCGGTGGCAGCTGTGGGTATGGGGGGATGGGGGGCATATAGAGGGGGAAAGAAGGGAGGGAGAAAGGGAGGGAGGAAGGGAAGAATGGAGGGAGGGAGGTACAGGACAGCTGGAATCGTTGAGAGCTTCCAGTTTCCCCCCGGAGTGCGAGATGTAAGGACGTGTGTGACGGTGGTCCGTGGCGCGAACACTGGCTTCCTGCATGCTATCTATACCGGGGGAGGGGGACAAGACCGGTGGTTTTCCCGTGTCAGTGTATTTAACACAGAAGTATTGTGCTTACATTCCACTGTCGTAAAACATTCTACCGAAAGTCGCTATAATAGCGATTGTAACTGGTGATCTGCTTTCGTTAACGTCTGTGATACTATCAAAAAGTTTGTTGAGTGTGTGGTAACTGAAGTGCTTTAAGTGCATACATAATTATTTTTCAAGGGCAGAAAGGACATTGACGCCTTTATTTGACAATGAATTACGCGAAATGGTTGGGTACTTAAAGGGAGTTTAAAGCCTATCGACTATACGAAGGTCGCTAAGGCTGCATGTAACCTGTTCACCACCAGAATTAAAGTAAATTCTCAGGGTATATACACAACGAGACAAACCACTCGACATACACACTCGGTGTATGTATCAGTATAACTAGCAAGTTGGTACCAGCTATCTATTTAATAAATGAATTACATTTTTTCGGTGCTGGCACGAACAATTTGCATTTGTAAAAATGTCTTAAATATGCTACAAGACTGATGTAATACACATCATCTTTTTCTCTTTTTCTTCAGTAGTTCCTAAACAGTTCTTAAAAAAAGCTTTAACAAAAATCCTTCCACCATATATATTATATATAAACATATATATATATATATATATTATTATTATATATAAAATATTTATATATATTATATATATATATATATATATTATAATATATTTTATATATATATATATATATATATATTTATATATATATATAATATTATATATATATATTTATATATATATATAAAATATATATATATTATATTATATATATATATATATATATATATATGTGAGCAGTGTCTAGCAGATAGCATAATTAACGCACACTGCTATTGCTGACAGCATAATTAACTAGGAGCAACACACAAATCACTATGAGGTAACACAGATCAATCACACTGACTCTAGCTACTGCTCATGGGAAATGTTTGATGGACATAAATCTCTTTCCCAAGTACACACAAGAATTGTAGGATCCATAGTTTTATGAGCGTGTTGCTGGAAGTGATTCTGTGAGCGTGTCTTACTGGAAGTGTCTTGCTAGAAGTGCTTCTGTGAGTGTTGCTGGAAGTGATTCTGTGAGGGTTACTGGAAGTGATTCTGGAAGTGTGTTGCTTGAGGTACTTCTGGAATTGTGTTAGTGTTCGTATAAGCGCTCTTATAAGCGTTTGTGGTGCTCAAAGTTCTTCTGCAAGTATTTTGTGAAGCTGGAAGAACGTCTCTGGTGTACATTTGCTGGTATCCAAAAATCATAAAACACAAAAGTTATTAACGAGAAAAAAACCCAGCTACATGCATTAAGCCACTTAATGCAGAGTCAGCCTTTATATGCAAAGCCACCGCACCGCTCAGTACTGAGAGAAGTTTTGATAAAGCTCTGAAGTAAAGTTTTGATAAAGCTCTGAAGTAAAGTTTTGATAAAGCTCTGAAGCATAGTTTTACTTTGCTTTTCGCGTCTCGTTAGCTTGCTGCCTCAGCTTCAGTTCACGATAAGTTACGTTGCTCTCCTACAGGGTGCCTTAATAGAGCCCTCATCCACAGAGACACTACCAGATGTCTGCTCCTGCCTATCTGTGTGACCGTCTTCAAGAACAAGATACTGCGAGACGTAGGGACAAATTACCTCCGAGAATTGTCTCATCCAGGACAATAATGTTGTTAATATTGCTTTATGTAATGACTCGGCAGTGGGAGAATTAGCCTTTATCGGAATGGGATAGCGAGATAAATGAGATGTATGCAAAGAGACGTCTGACTGCAATAATAATTCGTGTTTAGGGGACCAACAACAAGATGGAACTGCTGTGAAAGGAAGGCTTAGTGCTCATCTTATCCTGGTTACTGGATCCCTATTGTCTAATCATTTTTCATAGCACAATGGCAGTCTGCCCCCGAGGAAGAGTGTACCAAAAAAATAAAGAGACGAAACACATTCACCAGCATTCATTCAGTCGTTGTCTTGCATTTCCTCTGTACTCACCCCCTCCAGAACTCAAGTCCGGCTACCCGGATCCCCTGAATACATCGTATTGAAGCTAATTCTGTGATTGCTCAGAGCAGGGGCTCTAACACGGTCGAATTTCAGCATTTCTGTTTCAGGCGTTAAAAGTCCATAAGAGTTTATGACAGTGATTACATTAGCACATGATGCAACAAGTGTTGTTAGTAAAGTCTTCCTATTGTAAGCTTCGTGGCTCAGTGTTGTAGCTTATATATATATATATATATATATATATATATATGTTGCAGTCTGAGGACAATAAGAAATTCTTGTTTATGAGGCAACTAAAATCAATGATGCATATGAAATAGAGGAATATTTTTACACACGGGATGGTGGTAGTTGTTACATACGGGATGGTGGTAGTTGTTACATACGGGATGGTGGTAGTTGTTACATACGGGATGGTGGTAGTTGTTACACACGGGATGGTGGTAGTTGTTACATACGGGATGGTGGTAGTTGTTCAACGGTGGTGGTAGTTGTTACAAAAGGGATGGTGGGAGTTGTTACATAGGGAGGTGGTGTTGTTACACGGGATGGTGGTAGTTGTTACACACGGGGGTGGTGGTAGTGTTACACGGGATGGTGGGTTGTTCATACGGGGTGGTGGTAGTTGTTACTCGGGATGGTGGGAGTTTTACTACGGGATGGTGGGTTGTTCACACGGGATGGTGGTAGTTTGTTACATACGGGATGGTGGTAGTTGTTACACACGGGATGGTGTAGTTGTTACATATCGGGATGGGGGTAGTTGTTACATACGGGATGGTGGTAGTTGTTACACACGGGAGGTGGTAGTTGTTACATACGGGATTTTGGTATGTTGTTACATACGGATGGTGGTAGTTGTTACATACGGGATGGTGGTAGTTGTTACACACGGGAGGTGATAGTTGTTACACACGGGATGGTGCTAGTTGTTACACACGGGATGGTGGTAGTTGTTACATACGGGATGGTGGTAGTTGTTACACACGGGATGGTGGTAGTTTTTACACACGGGATGGTGGTAGTTTTTCACTACGGGAGGTGGTAGTTGTTACATACGGGATGGTGGTAGTTGTTACATACGGGATGGTGGTAGTTGTTACATACGGGAGGTGGTAGTTGTTACATACGGTGGTGGGTAGTTGTTACATACGGGATGGTGGGAGTTGTTACACACGGGATGATGGTGTTGTTACACACGGGATGGTGGTAGTTTTACACACGGGATTGTGGTAGTTGTTTCATACGGGATGGTGGTAGTTGTTACAACGGGATGGTGGTAGTTGTTACATACGGGATGGTGGTAGTTGTTACATACGGGATGGTGGTATTGTTACACACGGGATGGTGGTAGTTGTTACATACGGGATGGGTAGTTGTTACACACGGGATGTTGGGGACTTGTTACACACGGGATGGTGGTAGTTGTTACATACGGGATGGTGGTAGTTGTTACACACGGGATTGGTGGTAGTTTACACACGGGATGGTGGTAGTTGTTACATACGGGATGGTGGTAGTTGTTACATACGGGATGGTGGTAGTTGTTACATACGGGATGGTGGTAGTTGTTACATACGGGATGGTGGTAGTTGTTACACACGGGATGGTGGTAGTTGTTACACACGGATGGTGGTAAATTGTTACACACGGGATGGTGGTAGTTGTTACAACGGGATGGTGGTAGTTGTTACACACGGGATGGTGGTAGTTGTTACACACGGATGGTGGTAGTTGTTAACACGGGATGGTGGGTTTTTACATACGGGATGGTGGTAGTTGTTACACACGGGATGCTGGTAGTTGTTTTCACACGGGATGGTGGTGTTTACACACGGGATGGTGGTAGTTTTTACACACGGGATGGTGGTAGTTTGTTACATACGGGATGGTGGTAGTTGTTACATACGGGATGGTGGAGTTGTTACATACGGGATGGATGGTAGTTGTTACATAAAGGGATGGTGGTAGTTGTTACACACGGGATGGTGGTAGTTGTTACAACGGATGGTGGTAAATTGTTACACACGGGATGGTGGTTTGTTTGTTACATACGGGATGGTGGTAAGTTGTTAAAACACGGGATGGTGGTAGTTTTACAAAACGGGATGGGGGGTAGTTGTTACACACGGGATGCTGGTAGTTGTTACATACGGGATGGTGGTAGTTGTTACACACGGATGCTGTAGTTGTTACACACGGGATGGTGGTAGTTGTTTTCACACGGGAGGTGGTAGTTGTTACATACGGGATGGTGGGTAGTTGTTACACACGGGATTGGTGGTAGTTGTTACAACGGGATGGTGGTATTGTTACACACGGATGGTGGTAGTTTTTTACACACGGATGGTGGTGGTATTGTTACAACGGGATGGTGGTAGTTGTTACACCGGGATGGTGGGGAGTTGTTTACAACGGGATGGTGGTAGTTGTTACACACGGGATGGTGGTAGTTGTTACATACGGATGGTGGGAGTTGTTTTCATACGGGATGGTGGTAGTTGTTACATACGGGATGGTGGTAGTTGTTACATACGGGATGGTGGTATGTTGTTACACACGGGATGGTGGTAGTTGTTACATAGGATGGTGGTTTGTTACATACGGGATGGTGGTAGTTGTTACACACGGGAAGGTGGTAGTTGTTACACACGGGATGGTGGTAGTTGTTACATACGGGATGGTGGTAGTTGTTACACACGGGATGGGGTAGTTGTTCACACAGGTTGGTATTGTTACATACGGGATGGTGGTAGTTGTTACACACGGGATGGTGGTAGTTGTTACACACGGGATGGTGGTAGTTGTTACACACGGGATAGTGGTAGTTGTTACATACGGGATGGTGGTAGTTTTACACACGGGATGTGGTAGTTGTTACACACGGGAGGTGGGTTTGTTGTTACACACGGGATGG